TCTTTCTTTCTTTCTTTCTTTCTTTCTTTCTTTCTTTCTTTCTTCACAGCAGGCAGCCTAACGCCACAGCCATGTGCTTGCTATTGTTTCATTAGTGAAATGCCCTTGAGTATGAGAGATGGATGTGTGTGTGTGTGTGAGTGAGTGTGCAAAAGGTGGGGAGTGGTATTGTGAAGGAAGGGCCTTGCACCTCCTTACAGGACTTTCTTTCTAAGGATGGGCTCCTAAGGGTCAGAAAGAGGAAGAGGAAAAGAACATCCTTTAATTTGAGTTATTTTGGTGCTTAGGAACAACTGGCAAAGAATAGGATGCTTTAAATGCCACCACTGGAGTGGCTGATAGGTGTTCTCCTTCTGACCCCACCCATTGAGGGTCAGAAGAGAATTCCCAATGTCCAGCTGTCAATCAGGTTCCAAAACTACAGTCAAGCATCTTCCAGAGATCCATGGTGGGCTAGAGCTTTGCCCCAGCCCCACTAAAACCGTGTGAAACTATTCTCAGGTCTCCTCCAGCAGCTTTCCAAATGCTGGAAACATCCAGATGTGTTGGGACTGCAGCTCCCAGAATTCCTAGCTGGTGTGGCCATTGCTGGGAATTTTGAGAGATCAAGCCCACCCATCTGGAGGTGGCCAGGGCTGGGGCAGGCTGCCATGGAACATGGTGCTTGAGAACTCTAGGTGTGCACCAGCAATCAAATACTGGTGCCAAGGGGCTTGCAGTCTATGAAAACCAAATCAAGGAAGCAAGAGGGGTGGAAATGGAGGCAGGGACAATGGGGAAACTTGTTGCTGCAATTGCTGTGCCAGTTGTGGGAACATCTTTACATGAAAATAGAGATAATATTTTTGTGCTTCTAATTATGCCTGGCCATTTGTCCACTTTATTATGTTGCCAGCCTGCACTGTTGGACACAGGGAAGAATTTCCCTTGCCCACACCCTTCCTTTGTTCTCTGATTGTGGGAGTGTAATTTTTTAAAAATACAGATACATGGAATAAACTCAGCCTTGTATGTTGCTTTTCTCGTTGTGGAAAAAAGGATGTTGTTTCTGTATATATATGGCTGTATGTTTTTTTTTTAATTCATAATTTATGGTTAGAATATGGGTTAGAGTTCCAAACCTCTTCTGCAAGATTGCCCTTTGATTTATACTCCAACATAGCCAAGATGATGAAGGTTGTTCAACCAAATTTTACGGAAATCAAGACACCCAGGGTGATTGTCATTTCATTCTAGTTCATGTCCAAACTCTTTGATAAGTTTAAAAAGAGAAAGAGAAAGAAAAGAAGTTGCCACAGGCTTGTGCCCCCTGTCTGAGCAGAGGGAGGTTGAGAGGTGGGGGAAAAGGAAAGAGAAAGAGAGAAAGGGTGAATCTTGCAAGGATTGGGGAGGCAGAACATTCAGCAGTATGTTGCGAAGTGTGGGCCAAAAGGTTTTGGCTACATCCATGTTCACCTGTTTGTGACTGCAGTATCTAGTCACTACTGAGCAATTGAGGGTTGGATCCTCACAAATGCCAGACCACAATCTTTTCATTTCTTCAGCCCAATCTTTTTCAGTTGGGTATCTTTATACCTGCAGATACCTGTCATCAGAGGCCAGTCCTGATAGACATGTAGATCACTTCGGCTTTGCACTCAGTTCTTGGCGGAGGAATGTTTGAATCCCATCGAAAAACCCGATGAAGGTCCTGTGTCTGTGGTGCTGATTTACATGAGCCCATCGCTGTGTGCTCCAGGCAGTGATGTGGAGGGGAAAATGTTCTGTTTCTAAAAATGCGGTCCTTCATAACATTGACTGATAAGCTAATGAACTGATGTAGCACCAGTCAAAGTAGCAATTTCAAATTTGTGATTCAAAAACCCCAACAAGCTGCTGGCTGGATCCATCAAAAATTCAGTGAAATAGCATTAATGAAGCAGGGATGAGCAGCCTAAAGTGATCCAAGCATTTTGTACTATGACTCCCACAGTGCATGGCTGTGGATAGTGCTGAGCGCGACTGATGGGAACTGAAGCTCAAACATCTGGACAGCCCCAGATAGCTTACTCTTTATGTGCAGTAGTCATATGTATAGAAAACACCTGTCTGTGCACATGGGAACTGGTCTTTTAAACCTGCCATAGTAAATCTGCCAAAATATCTCCCTTTTGTTTTGTCTGATCTTTGGTTTCAATAGCGTATGTTGGCTATTGTAACTGACATACGGTTTTCTGTTTTGCAGGCTGAGAGCAAAGTGTGACTCTCTTTTAAGCACCATATATGCTGAAGCTCTTGGGTGCTACAAGGTAAGTTTTGTCCTTAACACTGAAGAAACCAACAGATGCTAGAGCTTTCCAAAAAGAATGTATGGATAGAGCTTCTCTTTAATAGGAATAGAATCTCTGTTTATTGTCCTCCATGTTTCCTGTACCTGTAGGCTCCAGTAGTCAAAAGCCAGTCATGAAGAAGACCTGTATAAAGTAATGAAACCATTACTTAAATGGTTTCACAACGATTTTAAGTTTCATTGCTTCGCATGGCACTTAGTTATGACCAACCTCAGCTGAATTAGTATTATCTAGAAGCCTCAACCATTGCACCTGCATGACAAACTAAACCAGGATTAGAGGTAACCATGGTTAAGGTCCTTGCTTGATGAACTTGCCCCAAATTACACATCAGACTGTGCCAGAAGGTAATTTGACCATGTTCTTTTAATCAATATTGTTTCTGTGATGTTGATTGCTCAAAAATATTTTTAAAGCCTACCATGGGGTGATTATGGCCAGAGCCTTTGCCCGTAGGATGGGAAAACTGGTTGTTCCTCTGCCCTTTTATTTTCATAACAAAGTCAACGTATGATTGTAAAGCAATTACGAAAGAATAAAAAGAGGCAGCAGCAGAAACACAGCTCTGCAGCAAGTCTTGTTCCTTGTTTCGTATTCTTGGAGGCATAAAGTCTACTTAATCATAAATTAGTCACTAATGTGGGTTTGCATAACATGCCTGCCTACTGTTAACTTAAGATAATCATAAAAGAATCTGTTACTACAGACAGGAGTTAAAGTGCTCCTTAACCATACTCTAGATTTAGGCAACATGCTGAGCTCATATGCTGGCTAGCTTGCTTTGTCATGTGAACTGGGTCAATGCCTCTGCCTAATTTTGCTTTTTACAACCCTGCAGATAATTTCAAAAGAAGTCTATTGGGCAATCAGAATAAATTACCAAGGGAGAAACCAGTGCCTTCAAATGACAAGGCTGTGTGAGATTGGCAGAGTTCACAGTTTTAAACATTGCATGCATTTGCTTTTTGGCATAAAATCTAGGGACTTTTAATGCTGAGCTAAAGTGTTCCTGGAACTTGCTTTTTTTTTTTTAAAAAAAAAACACAACTAAAATCTGAGGGCAGTTTTGTAGATTGGAAGTGAGTTTAATATCTCCAGTCTCTCAAATGAAGTGAATTGGTCATTTTCCTCAGAGACTTGGATTGCCTTGATGAGGTAGCTCAGAGCGATGTTGTAGTATGGGAAATGGGAAGGAGTACAATGGCATGACCCGTACAAAAGGGCAACATTTCACTCAATCAATGTGACAAGCCCTGAACCACTTCTTTTCTGGAATTAATATATAAAACAATAAATGATTTGTCATTATGCAACTACACAATTACTTGCAGAGAAATCTGACTCAGATACCATTTATTCTGTAATGATTACTTCTCTGCCTTCTACTTCTCTTGAAATTTCCTTAATTTGGAACTCCAGCCTGGAATTGTACAAACCCCAGGTCTTCTAGGGCAGTGTTTCTCAACCTTGGCAACTTGAAGATGTGTGGACTTCCCAGAATTCCCCAGCCAGCATGCTGGCTTTAGTGCAAACTTAGGAGCATTCTGAATTGGAGGAAGCAAATTTTGAAGCTGACATTAATTTATTGTTGTTGTTGTTGTTGCTGGTCACACAGTCAGCTAGATGTTTAGATTGGATTTGGCATTATTATTATTATTATTATTATTATTACCACCTTCGAGTCAGTGTTGATTCCTGGTGACTTCCTGGACTAGCCCCTGCAGTTTGGTTGACAAGTTTTCAGAAGTGGTTTGCCATTGCCTCCTTCCTAGGACTGAGGGAGAGTGACTGGCCCAAGGTGACCCCAGTTGGCTTTGTGGCTAAGGTGGGACCAAGAACTCATGGTCTCCCAGTTTCTAGCCTGGTGCCTTAACCACTACACCAAACTGGCTGTACTATAACCCTATTATTATTAAACTAATAATAGTTTAAACAATTAATACTGTACGATATTTAAAAATAATCTCCAGCTTCATTAAAGATGAAAACTAGGTTAGCTTCTTTGTTTTTCCACCTACTGTGGATTTTGTGTATTTCTGCTATGATTGGAGATAGATTTGATTTTAATAGGTGGATGTTAATATTTGTTTAAGATAGTTCAACTATCATATGCTTGTTTCTTCCTTAAGTGAATTCTTAGGCCAAGGATAACATGGCACAATGTTAGTGCCATAGAGTACCTAATTTACACATTCATAACATTCTTCCATGTTCAATTTCAGAAAGTGTCATAGTTTGGACATTTACATTCTTCCTTTGTTTTCTTTATCACCTTGCTGGATGAAGTGCTCTTAAGGAATTGAAAGCTTTGGCATTATTTATGAATTGGCGTCAACCTAGTATGGCTAATGCCTTAATGTGGATTTTTCTTTCACAATAATGGAGACAAATTTCAGAAGGGAAAGGATAAAGAGGAAAAGACTAAATCTTATCCTTGTCAGAACCTATGCAAGTTGTCAAATTAAAAAGAAAGAAAATCCCATCATGCTTAAAATGCAAATGGCAGGGATTGCATGTTATCATGGTTATCTGCTCCTTCTTCAACAGTTTTATTAACTTAGAGGAAGAGGTGTACTTATCAAATTTTCAGTTGACGCAAAATCCAGTTAACATTTCAGAAAACAGAAATAAAATCTGAACAAAATCTTGATAAATGAATTGAAAAGAGCAGGATGCAATTTAAGACTTCATTTCCTTCATAAATCAAAAGAAAGCAAATGTGTAGGTATAAAAAGGAGAAAGGAGAATACTTGGCTTGGCAGTACTTGTAAAAAAGTTATTCATATAATAGTTAATTATAAACTGATTATGAGTCAGCAGTGTGAAGTGGTTGCAAAAATACACAGAGCTGATTTTCAGCTGCACGGAAGTACAGTATAGTTTACAAATCATGAGAATGGTTCCACTTTATTCTGGATTGGTGTGCCCTCAGCTGCTGTATCTTGTCCCATTCTGGACATCACACTTTAAGAAGAATTCAGAGATTTTGGAACAAGTTCAGAAAGGACAACAGGTATAATCAAGGGGCTAGAAGCTAAGTGCTGTGAAGAGAGCTTGTAGGACCTGGGGATGATTAGGCTCGAAAAGAGAGGAGTGAGTGGGGAGAAGATAGTACTCTTCAATTATCTGAAAAGATGTCACCCAGAAAGTCAAGACCTATTCTTTTAGTTCCAGAAGAATGGATTTTAAAGAGAGATTCCAACTGAATGTCAGAAGAAAATCTTCCTACAATAAGAATAGTTCAACTGTGGAACCAGTTTCTATAGATGTGAAGTCCCCTTCGTTAGACGCTTTCAAGAACTGCAGGGGTTGCTTTAATTTAGATTCCTGCACTGAGCTGTGGGGTGAACTCAGTGGCCTAATTGCCCCTCACTATGATTCTGTGTTCAAATTACTACCTATGGTCTAGTTTAGAATCCATGTAAGGGTCAAGTGACCATCACATAAACAGAAGTACAGGTCATTGCTAGAGAACATAAATGCTGCTAACCTTCCCCAATCAAAAGCCTATTTGATCTGACATGATGATGTGACTTTCAAACAAGTGTCATTCTGCAGTGAAATGGTTATGTCAGAGACCATGGGTTCATGTCACCAGCTACATATTTGAATCCAACAGTTAGTTTATGGCATCTTCCTTGTGTTCCATTTTGCCAGAGCACACAAGAAATAGTCTCAGCATCTGCCTAGCCTTGTCTGAACTTTAAAAGTAAGCAGGGTCTGGCCTGAGTGCTTTCTATTGGATTCCCAAAAGTTGCAGAGGGCAACCTTGCAGTCTTGGGACCAACATGCCTACTTTAAAGAAGTACAGGTAGATGCTACATGTTCTTGAAAGACATTTTCCAAAGCACTGCAGACCCTCCTTGTTAGTTTTTACATGGGAGACCACCAGAAATTCCCTAGAGACAGAAGTTGAGAAACATCCCAGAAGGAGGTTATGGAAAGACACTTCTGTACTGTGGCTAAGAAAACAACGTGGACATGTTCATAAAGTCACCAGGAATTGAGCTGTATTCAAAGGAGACTTTATTTTTTATAAAGAATGGGGGCGAAATGCAACCCCACTGAAATTCAGAATGGAAAGCATGGTATTAATTGGATAGAACTATTTTTTAAAAATGGATTATTGCATTTCTGTGCTCCCTTTTCTCAAGGCATATGGAGCTTTCCTCTGATCTTATCCTCATAATGACTGCTTAAGTGAGGTGGGTTGGGCTGAGAGGGAGTGACTGATTCTCCTTCAGTGAGCTGTTGGGACTTGAGCCAAATCCAACACCTTTTCCATTCTGGCCTGTTCTGATATGTTCTGTAAAGATTATTTTTCAGGCATTGTCTCCTTTTTAAAGGGACAAGTCTGTTTGACCTAATGATATTCCTGCATTAGACATCTCTCATGTTTCAGAGAGAATTCCAGATTCCTTTTTTGGATTCTGCCATTATTGCAAAATGTCATTACAGCAGATTGATTCATTCTGGGATTTTAAAACAATTCTGTTCCTCCAAGGAAAAGTTTCTGGAGCCTGGGACTGATACAAAATGGCTCACTGCCTCTTCTATCATCAGCCAGCTGCTTGTACATTTCCCAGCTTGGTGTATCGCAGCTCTTGCTTCAGACATTTTCACAGCTAATACTTTTGCATGTGTCAAATAGAGAGTATTTTGAAAACTCTGACAGAGCAGAATTAAGCTGAAACCTTGATCTCTGGCTTGGAGTTGCCATGTGAGCTCTGCCATCCATTCTAATTCCTATAATCCTGGTGTAATAGCTGGTTGCTACGTTCCCATGATTTTCTGTCGTGAGGCATTTGCTAATGCAAGCAAGGAGGTCATGAGGCTAAGAATGGAGTTGAAAATGCTTGCCTTAGAAGAATATATTATTGATCTATGGCACTGAATGGGTCTCAAAACATAGATATTTTTTGTAGCTGCTATTGATTAGTATCAAGATTGCAGCATTG